TGTGTTACATGAATGTTTTCTCCAGAATATTATTTTAATTAAATTTCATTGTTTAACTTGGACCTACTATATAGTACTGATACATTTTATATGGTAGGTCTATCATGACATTTTAGAGGAAGATTTTAAGATTGCACCAAGAAAATGTAAGAGCAATGGCTTGAACATTCAAATATAATAAATATGATGACATTCATATTATTCAATATTATAATAATATACCAGAGGACAGTAGAATAGAACAGGGGTCCCCAACTCCCGGCCACGACCCAGTACCAGGCCACGGCCCATTGGGAACTGGACAGCACAAGTTGCGGGTGAGCAAGCAAGTGTGTGAAGCTGCATTTGAGCAAGTGATGTGCTTGCGCATGAAACTATCCTCTTTCCCCTCCCCCGCTGCCACCGGCAGTTTGCAGAGCCAGAAAAGTTGCAGACTGCTGGAATAAAAAACAAAGAATTGGCAAAGATCACAAAGTATCAAGTTCTGAAAATTGAAATTGAAAGGTTCCGGCAAATAGCTATGGTGGTGGTCCAAGTGGTTATAGGCACACTGTGTGCCATTTAAAAAAAAAATCTTGGGTGGCACTTAGAAAAGTTACACATTGACAAAAAATTCATCTGTCAATTGCAAATGGCCACACTGCTTGGCTACACACATATACTATAATGATGCATTACAATATCCTAGATTTTTGATAAAAATATGTTTACAAAGGACAATACCAGCTAAAGAACTGGCAGCTGTGACTTCACACTGTTGTGAACAGATATGCTCAAATAGCTCCTTTGCTAGGTGCCCATTCTTAACCCCCTTTGTCTAGAGTTATATATTTATTTTTATAATATTTACTTTTTAATCTGGATTTTATATACTTTATTTGTTTCTACACTATCCAGAAATCTGTTCTATGAAATGGGCAACTATAAACTTTGATTAATAAATAGTCTTAATAGTATTACTAATAACTTCCTTAGATCATTAAAATGTATATTATTTTTCAGAGCTTTAAGGACACAGAGAGCATTGAACAAGTAGCAGAACAGGTAAAAAATATGAAGATTGATGAAAGCCAAACCAAAATGACAAAATCTGAAGAAGTTGTTGATGAGGTAAGTTGGGAAGTACCTCAATCATGTTTTTCAATTTCTGCTAGGTGACTAAATAAAAAAAAAACCATACAAATGAGAAAGGACATAAAAGAAAAACAATATACCTAGCATAGCTGGATATGTAAGAACCAAGTTCTTTTGTCTATTGAAAATATAAAAAAAAATATTCTGCAAAATAGGTCAATACTGTATAGCTGCTTATAGCTGTTTATGTTCTGTGATAGTTGTGTCTGAGCTGGTAGTGACTTCTATTTTGCTCATTTGATCTTTTGGGAGTTCTGACTTCTGAAATCAGTTGCATTTTCCATATATGTAACAAAATGGTCAAATAAAGTTTGAATATAATTCTTTTAAAATAAAATTTACATGATCAAGCTTAGTAGTATATGTCACAAACCTCTGTATATATTTTTAAGAATAAAGTTATTGCAGAAAATGACATTTCTGGATTGTGCACAAAATGATATAGTTCATAGTTTTACTCTCTTTGGGACCAGCTACAAAGTTACTTGCAGAAAATTTTCAGTTCAATAGTAATCTTAATCTTAATTGATTATTAATTAGCAGCTTTTCCAGATGCTAAAAAGATTTTGTTGCAAATAAATATTCCCTCCCATAGAAGGGGTGACAGAATTCCTGTAAAATTTTGTAAAATGTATACTTCTCTGAGTGTGTATGAAAAGGAAAGTGGACGGTTTATATCCTTCTAAAAATACACTATACTGAACTTTGAACAAATCTCTATCTTTAAAATAGTGAACTTCACTGTTTTGCTTCTTTCCACTTTCATTGCAG